CTCCTGCTGAAACCGCCAGATGCGGTGCTTTAGGCACTGGATATGTCCATCGCGGTGCATGTGCCGTACGAGTACCAATAACAACAAAGGTGTCACCTGGACCCACGTGATACCGGCTATATCCAAGCCAGTGTCATCAAGGATTCTGTCTCCTTTTCATCGTCTCGCCTGTGCGAGAGTACCGTGGCTACCCAATATTGTAGCCTACAGCGTTCAGTTGGAACGTTTGATTTTTAAGATTTCTCTGCATCCAGCTGGCTGCGTGCAGCTTCGCGACTGATCCAGTCGGAGCCGTGTAACGCTTCCCTTATTTGGTAGCTCTGTGCTCGCTTTACTCAGTTAAGTAAGAGTCGCTCGTCGCTCCCCGCTCCCTCTGCTAGTAGGCTTTGCGCTTTCGTTTACTCAGCTACTTGGTGAAGGCAGTGCTCTCGCTGTCCTCCGCTTCCCTCTGGCTGGTAGCTCCGGTGCTTCGTATTTACTCAGCTAGGGGAGGCAGTGCTCTGCTCCCCGCTGTCCCTCTGCGTTAGTAGCTTTGCACTCTTCATTTTACTCCAGCTAGGTGAAGCAGTGCTCTCGGCTCCCCTGTTCCTCTTGCTATAACGCGGGTGTAGGACATTACACCCCTCTCGTGTCGCGAGGTAGGAGCAGGGGCTCTACTTCCTTCAGTTCAGCAGGTGAACTGGTGGAAGGCTGTGTTTTCGCCACCCCGCTCGCCGTGTTACGTTGCATCCGGCTACCTTACATGATGGCTCAATCCATGTTACGCCTGTAAGTGGCTTCTCTCGAGCCCGAGTTACGGCCCACGACCGCTGCCACTCTGCCTTGGTCTCGAGCATTGAGGGAGGCTACGGGTTCATCCCCCAACAGGAGACTAGAAACCGGCTGTCCTGTCCTCTAAGGTGGATCGTTAGCGCGGATGGGACATGACGAAGTCGCTCCCTTAGCCCTTCAGCCAGGGGGGCCGGTATAGGGGCTGCCTGGCTCGCTGCCTGCCCCTCCTTCGGTTGCCGGGCACCTCTGCATGAGGATGCCATGTCACTAGCGGCCTCGGCTACCTCTTCAATGAGAGGTGAGGACGAGGCCGCCGCTCACTCTCCGGGGAGGCTCCCACTCCTCTGCTCAGGGCTCTCTGCCAGGGCTGGAGGACGCCTCCATGGGGCATGTTATTTCATGCGGCCCCTGGCCACGCTTGCAGCTTTCCGGTTCCGCAGGGCGCCGACGCAGGCTCAGGCCTAGCGCCTTCTTCAGGCGTAAGCCCTGCCCCTGTCCCCCTTCACCGTTTCTCCGTTCAGAGGAGTACTGAGGAGCTCCATGCATTGTGCTGGATGAGACACCAAGCCCTTTCTCCCGCTTTAGCTGCTGATGCCGGGACCCCTGGCTGCCATGCAGGATCCGGCGAGGGTTGGGCTTGGGGCGTATGCCCCCATCGAGCCTGCCATCGCCTCCTGATTCGGGCTCCTGACGAGGCTTCTAAGGCCTGATGCCAGGTTGCCCTCGCCTCGAGTTGCAGGGTCCACTGACGAACTGCTCTGCTAACGGGCCCTGCACCAACGGCGGTGTGCGTTGCCGCTTCAACGCTTCTGCCCATCACTTTGAATGGGGCGTTGGTTGACGCATGATTCGCCGAACTGGCATTATTCCGGAGCAAAGCGTAGCTTCTCTTGCGGGTGCTTCGCTTGCAAAAGTAGAGACAATGTTCAACTTTTGACGCCTCGACGGAGGCGTCAGCCAATCGAATCATATGCCAGTACAAGCTCTAGCCAATCAAACCGCGTGATTGTGTGTCAGGGGCGGGAGATTCATGTGATTGGTTGTTTCAGCCCCCCCCGCCGGCAAGCGACAACGCACACCGCCGTGTGTCGGGGCCGTAAGGCCTACGACGCAGCGGCACACATGGGTCGTATCGGGAACTCTCTCTCCCATCTAATGCTGGCCGCCCCCGCCTCTCTGCAGCAGGCTCCGGCTGATCCTTCTTTGCTGGGCCTCAGTGATGCATCACTGCAGGCCTTTGCCCTAATGACTAGGGAATTGGAACGAGTTATGTCCCTACTGGTGCAGACTTGACGCCAGGTTTGGCTGTCTCAGTCCCCACTGACGGAGACATGTAGGAGTGTCCTCCGCGGCGTGCCAGACGAACCAGGGGAGCTGTTTGGAGCAGCTGCCCTGGCGGCACTAAAGCGTGCTGCCCAAGCTAAGCAGACCAGGCAGCAGCCCTCGGGTCTACGTAGGCCTGTGCCTACTCCCAGCAGGCCCAGAGGCCCCTCTAGCAGCAGCACTCTGCCACTGGCTTACAGTGGTGGTCTGCGGAGGTCCCAGCGGTCCACTCAACCGCCTCCCAATGACTTTCGTGCCCCCGGTCGCCGGCCCTCTAGGCAGCCCCGTGCCCCAGAGCCTTACCGCCGCCCCCCAAGGTGCCATACATTTTTGCATACATTCACAGTAAATATTTATTCAGTATGATAGCTGTCTAACAGAAGTTAAATCCATTTCTCACTTATTCTGACAATGTACTTAACCCCAAATAAAAGAACCCAATAAAAAGAGCTGTTAAATAATAGTGAAGTCATGTTGTAATAACAATAACTCATCTCTCTCGGTTCTTTTTCTGCTTTGCCAAAAGTGTCAAGTGTCCTATTAGAGTTGCCGTATGTAGTTGTCTAATATGGCGGACCATCTCACACATGCGCAGTACAGATCGGGCAGGGGGGCAGGTCGGGTAGTGACACTCCCTCCACAAGACGAGGC